TGCATGTGTATCATGCTGGTGCGTGTATATCATGTCAGGTGCGTGTGTATCATGTCAGGTGCGTGTGTATCATGCTGGTGCGTGTGTATCATGTCAGGTGCATGTGTATCATGTCAGGTGCATGTGTATCATGTCAGGTGCGTGTGTATCATGTCAGGTGCGTGTGTATCATGTCAGGTGCATGTGTATCATGTCAGGTTCATGTGTATCATGTCAGGTGCATGTGTATCATGCTGCTGCATGTGTATCATGCTGCTGCATGTGTATCATGTCAAGTGCATGTGTATCATGTCAGGTGCATGTGTATCATGTCAGGTGCATGTGTACCATGCTGTTGCATGTGTATCATGTCAAATGCATGTGTATCGTGCCAGGTGCATGTGTATCATGTCAAGTGCATGTGTATCATGTCAGGTGCATGGGTATCATGCTGGTGCGTGTATATCATGTCAGGTGCGTGTGTATCATGTCAAGTGCATGTGTATCATGTCAGGTGCATGTGTATCATGCTGCTGCATGTGTATCATGCTGCTGCATGTGTATCATGTCAAGTGCATGTGTATCATGTCAGGTGCATGTGTATCATGCTGGTGCGTGTATATCATGTCAGGTGCGTGTGTATCATGTCAGGTGCGTGTGTATCATGCTGGTGCGTGTGTATCATGTCAGGTGCGTGTGTATCATGTCAAGTGCATGTGTATCTTGCTGTTACATGTGTATCATGCTGGTGCGTGTATATCATGTCAGGTGCGTGTGTATCATGTCATTTGCGTGTGTATCATGTCAGGTGCGTGTGTATCATGTCAGGTGCATGTGTATCATGCTGCTGCATGTGTATAATGTCAAGTGCATGTGTATCATGTCAGGTGCATGTGTATCATGTCAAGTGCATGTGTATCATGTCAGTTGCATGTGTATCATGCTGCTGCATGTGTATCATGTCAAGTGCATGTGTATCATGTCAGGTGCATGTGTATCATGTCAAGTTCATGTGTATCATGTCAGGTGCATGTGTATCATGCTGCTGCATGTGTATCATGCTGCTGCATGTGTATCATGTCAAGTGCATGTGTATCATGTCAGGTGCATGTGTATCATGTCAAGTGCATGTGTATCTTGCTGGTACATGTGTATCATGCTGGTGCGTGTATATCATGTCAGGTGCGTGTGTATCATGTCAGTTGTGTGTGTATCATGTCAGGTGCGTGTGTATCATGTCAGGTGCGTGTGTATCATGTCAAGTGCATGTGTATCATGTCAGGTGCATGTGTACCATGCTGTTGCATGTGTATCATGTCAAATGCATGTGTATCATGCCAGGTGCATGTGTATCATGTCAAGTGCATGTGTATCATGTCAGGTGCATGGGTATCATGCTGGTGCGCGTGTATCATTTCAGGTCCGTGTGTATCATGTCAGGTGCGTGTGTATCATGCTGGTGCGTGTATATCATGTCAGGTGCGTGTGTATCATGTCAGGTGCATTTGTATCATGCTGGTGCGTGTGTATCATGTCAGGTGCATGTGTATCATGTCAGGTGCGTGTGTATCATGCTGGTGGGTGTGTATCATGTCAAGTGCATGTGTATCATGTCAGGTGCATGTATATCATGTCAAGTGCATGTGTATCATGTCAGATGCATGTGTATCATGCTGCTGCATGTGTATCATGCTGCTGCGTGTGTATCATGCTGCTGCATGTGTATCATGTCAACTGCATGTGTATCATGTCAGGTGCATGTGTATAATGTCAAGTGCATGTGTATCTTGCTGGTACATGTGTATCAAGCTGGTGCGTGTATATCATGTCGGGTGCGTGTGTATCATGTCAGGTGCGTGTGAATCATGTCAGGTGCATGTGTATCATGTCAGGTGCGTGTGTATCATGTCAGGTGCGTGTGTATCATGCTGGTGCATACGTATCATGTCAAGTGCATGTGTATGATGTGAGGTGCATGTGTATCATGTCAAGTGCATGTGTATCATGTCAGGTGCATGTGTATCATGCTGCTGCATGTGTATCATGTCAAGTGCATGTGTATCATGTCAGGTGCATGTTTATCATGTCAAGTGCATGTGTATCATGTCAGGGGCAGGTGTATCATGCTGGTGCGTGTATATCATGTCAGGTGCGTGTGTATCATGTCAGGTGCGTGTGTATCATGTCAGGTGCGTGTGTATCATGTCAGGTGCATGTGTATCATGCTGGTGCATGTGTATCATGTCAGGTGCGTGTGTATCATGTCAGGTGCGTGTGTATCATGCTGGTGCATGTGTATCATGTCAAGTGCATGTGTATGATGTGAGGTGCATGTGTATCATGTCAAGTGCATGTGTATCATGTCAGGTGCATGTGTATCATGCTGCTGCATGTGTATCATGTCAAGTGCATGTGTATCATGTCAGGTGCATGTGTATCATGCTGCTGCATGTGTATCATGTCAAGTGCATGTGTATCATGTCAGGTGCATGTGTATCATGTCAAGTGCATGTGTATCATGTCAGGGGCAGGTGTATCATGCTGGTGCGTGTATATCATGTCAGGTGCGTGTGTATCATGTCAGGTGCGTGTGTATCATGCTGGTGCGTGTGTATCATGTCAGGTGCGTGTGTTCCATGTCAGGTGCATGTGTATCATGCTGCTGCATGTGTATAATGTCAAGTGCATGTGTATCATGTCAGGTGCATGTGTATCATGTCAAGTGCATGTGTATCATGTCAGGTGCATGTGTATCATGCTGGTGCGTGTATATCATGTCAGGTGCGTGTGTATCATGTCAGGTGTGTGTGTATCATGCTGGTGCGTGTGTATCATGTCAGGTGCATGTGTATCATGTCAGGTGCATGTGTATCATGCTGGTGCATATGTATCATGTCAAGTGCATGTGTATCATGTCAGGTGCATGTGTATCATGTCAAGTTCATGTGTATCATGTCAGGTGCATGTGTATCATGCTGCTGCATGTGTATCATGCTGCTGCATGTGTATCATGTCAAGTGCATGTGTATCATGTCAGGTGCATGTGTATCATGTCAGGTGCATGTGTATCAAGTCAAGTGCACGTGTATCATGTCAGGTGCATGTGTACCATGCTGCTGCATGTGTATCATGTCAAATGCATGTGTATCATGCCAGGTGCATGTGTATCATGTCAAGTGCATGTGTATCATGTCAGGTGCATGTGTATCATGTCAAGTGCATGTGTATCTTGCTGTAACATGTGTATCATGCTGGTGCGTGTATATCATGTCAGGTGCGTGTGTATCATGTCAGGTGCGTGTGTATCATGTCAGGTGCGTGTGTATCATGTAAGGTGCGTGTGTATCATGCCGGGTGCATGTGTATCATGCTGCTGCATGTGTATAATGTCAAGTGCATGTGTATCATGTCAGGTGCATGTGTATCATGTCAAGTGCATGTGTATCATGTCAGGTGCATGTGTATCATGCTGGTGCGTGTATATCATGTCAGGTGCGTGTGTATCATGTCAGGTGCGTGTGTATCATGCTGGTGCGTGTGTATCATGTCAGGTGCGTGTGTATCATGTCAGGTGCATGTGTATCATGCTGGTGCATATGTATCATGTCAAGTGCATGTGTATCATGTCAGGTGCATGTGTATCATGTCAAGTTCATGTGTATCATGTCAGGTGCATGTGTATCATGCTGCTGCATGTGTATCATGCTGCTGCATGTGTATCATGCTGCTGCATGTGTATCATGTCAAGTGCATGTGTATCATGTCAGGTGCATGTGTATCATGTCAGGTGCATGTGTATCAAGTCAAGTGCACGTGTATCATGTCAGGTGCATGTGTACCATGCTGCTGCATGTGTATCATGTCAAATGCATGTGTATCATGCCAGGTGCATGTGTATCATGTCAAGTGCATGTGTATCATGTCAGGTGCATGTGTATCATGTCAAGTGCATGTGTATCTTGCTGTAACATGTGTATCATGCTGTGGCCTCCTTTGCTGGCCTCTGTGCATGCACGGGCTTGCAAAAACCCCTGCATTTGTGCCCATACAGCCCCCCATAAATAAACACTTTTTACATTTGACTTCTCATTTTTTTTGAGACACTCTTATAGAGCCCAGTCTGGTGTAGAACTTGTTGTGTAGCCTAGGCTAGCCTCACACTCATGATTCTCCTGCCTCTCAAGTGCTATGATTACAGACATTTGCCACCATATCTAACATATTACCTTTTTCTGCAGCGTTTGGCACCAACCGTAGGGCCTTGCCCATGACAGGCAGATGTTGTATAACTGCTCTGCATCCCCCGTCCAGTTTCCCACCTTTTTACTCTAATATTAATGCTAGTTGTCCATGAAGTTTTGTATATGTTATTTCATCTCCACATAAGTCCACTAAACTGACCCATTTTACAGATGAGAAAGCTGAGGTATAGAACAGTCAACTCACCTGAAGTTAACAGAACTAGTAAGTACGGAGTTAGGAAAGGAATTCAGTTCTCTGGCTTCAAATTCTGCTTGATAACCCAGCTGCCTATTCAAATAGTCACAGAGGGATGCGGGGTGGGGGAGAGGGGACAAGGCTCAGCACCAAAACTAAAGCAAGAGACTACACTGAAAGAATTGCCTGGTCCAAGCAGAAACTGATTCAAACGTGACTAGCTTTCCTGCTTTCTCATGAGATGTAACTTACGGAGTAAAGCTTATATTTCAGCCTTCTAGACATATAGTTTTATGATTACTTATTTTATGTGTATGAGTGCTTGGCGTGTGTGTGTGTGTGTGTGTGTGTGTGTGTGTGTGTGTGTGTGCGCGCGCGCCTGGTACCTATGGAGGTCAGATCTCGAACTGGAGTTCCACGTGGTTGTAAGTCACCATGTGGGAGATGGAAACTGAACCCCAGTCCTCTGCAAAAGCAACAAATTCTTTTAACCCCTGAGCCATCTCTCCAGCTCCAGAGCTCTTTTAATTTTTTTAAAAATGATACGTATTTCTTTAGGGGGATGTGTGTACCAGAGAGCACACATGGAGGTCAGAGGGCAACTTGCCAGGGCAGTTGGTTCTCTCCTCCACAATGTGGGTCCCAGGGATTAAACTCAGGTTGGCAGGCTTAATGGCAGATGCCTTTACCCCCTGAGCCATCCTTCTGGCCCCGGGTTAATGCGTTCTATGTGGCTAAACCAGGGACCTTGACCCAAGATTATCTGTTTGAGTTAAATATGGTTTTTCAGTTATCGTTTCCTACCTAAAAACCCAAAAGAAAAAAATCTGTCTTCTTGTCTCTTATTAGTGGGGTCAGTATCATAGATGGAGGAAGTGAAGGCTGGGCAGTGCAGCAGAGCGACAGTGTGTTTATGACTTCGGCTCACTGGAACCAGAAGCTGGGAGTTGTCTTTTCTGTTCAGATATTGACTGCTATTTCCAGCTCTTTGCATACTCTGAGTCTCATGTACTTCTGTATGTCCACGCTGTTATTATTAGGATAGTGAAGCCCAAAGTGGCCTCCATGGAGGATATGGCCACCTTCCACACTGATGCCTATCTGCAACATCTCCAAAAGGTCAGCCAAGAAGGTGATGAGGACCATCCGGACTCTATAGAATACGGACTAGGTAAGAGTCCCTCGGGCAACAGTGGGACCCCAGCTTGTAGATTATGGTACTTAATTTGTCTCTCTGTGTTTATGTAGAAGGATGTGTGTATGTGCAGTAGTGTGCTTGTGTCTGCTGGTACACACGTGGAACCAAAAGTCAGCACTGGGTGTCTTTTGTTTTGTTTCGTTTGAGACAAGGCTTCTCTGTGTAGCCCTGACTGTCCTGGACCTCCCTCTGTAGACTAGGCTGGGCTTGAACTCACAGAGATCCACCTGCCTCTGCCCCTGAGTGCTGGGATTAAAGGCATGTGCCACCACCACCTGGCTCTGGGTGTCTTCTTTAATCACTCACCACCTTACATTTTGAGGCTCTCACTGAACTTGAACTTCACCATTTTGACCAGGTTGGACGGCCAGTGGTCTCCAAGCATCTACTTGTCTCCACCCCTCCAGTGCTGGGGTTACACATTCATGCCTCGTGTGCCGGCTTTTACATGGATGCCAGGAATCTGAACTCAGGCCCTCATCCTTGTGTGCCAGGCATCTTACTGACTGAGCTACTTCCCTAACCCTTAATACTTGTTTCTTTTTTATCTTTAAGTTTTATGTGTACGCCTGTGTGCCTGAGTGTATGTGTGTACCACGTGCATGCAGTGCCAGTGGAGGTCAGAAGAGGCCGTAGAGCCCTTGGACCTGAAGTTAGAGATGTTTGGAAACTGCCATGTGGATTCTGAGAATTGAACCCAGGTCCCCTGGAAGAGTAAAAAAATGCTCTTAACTGCTAGCCACCTCTGTGGCCCGATACTTTTAAATTAAGAAATAATATAACTGATGCATGTGTGCACATGTGTCTGTATGTGTGTGTGTCTGTCTGTCTGTCTGTGCCTGTGTGTGTTATTGAGGGTGGAACCCAGGTCCTGGGATATGCTAATGAGGCACTCTGCCTTAGCTACATCTCAAGCCCCAACTGTTCATTTTAATCCCTCAGTCTGGTCATATTGTGAACACTCTATGAGTCGAACACAAGAGAACCATGAGACTGATGGAGAAGAATCGCTCAGTGCTAAGATTCTAAGGGCAGCACTTGGGGCTGCACTAGCTGTAGTGATCATATATTTTAAGTATTGACTTATTTGGTTTGAGGTTTTTTTTTTTAATTTTTCCAAGACAGGGTCTCACTGTAAAGCCCAGGCTGGCATGGAACTCACCTGCCTCTGCCTTCCAAGTGCTGGGATTAAAGGTATGCGTCACCATGCATGGCATTAGGTAAATGTTTAAATTCTGGCTAATTTTCCTACCTTATCCTTCATCAACAGATGCCTTAAAAAAATCACAGTGAATTGTCAACAGCATGGTCTAGTGCAGGTGTGTCCAGCTTGCAGCTCGTGGGCCACATGCCTCCCACGATAGCTATGAATAGGGCCCAACACATTTGTAGGCGACAGCAGCATACTGCGATGTCAAAGGCACCACTCTTCTAGAGAAACTGTGTGGCTTAAAGAAAGATACTAGGTGGGGCTATCAAAAGACCCGGTCCCAGGCCTGGCTCTGTGTGACCACTGGCAAAATACATCACCTCTCGGGCCTTGATGGACTGCTGGTGGGATATGAGAAGTTCATCTTGAAGGTTTTACCCTTTCTATTTCTAACCTTTGAAAGCCTTCCCTGTCTAACATTGGAGATGCTTATCTGTCCCCAGTGGAGCTGGTTTTAGCCCAGAACCTTCTTTAGGCTGTGCTGTTGACACAGCTTAACCTATTCTTCCTTCCCCAGATCTTCTTTAACAGATTTTTCTGGGTTCTGCCCCCAGGTTATGACTGCCCAGCCACAGAAGGAATATTTGACTATGCGGCTGCTGTGGGAGGAGCTACAATCACTGCTGCCCAGTGCCTGATTGACGGGAAGTGTAAAATAGCGATTAACTGGTCTGGAGGGTGGCATCACGCAAAGAAGTAAGGAAATGCCTTTCTGCCTTCTTACTCTTTCCCTGGTCAATCTCTCAGTTAGATAAACCTGTACACTTGTTATACTGATACTCAAGGGAACCACGAATATGTCTAGCGTTTTATAAGGAGTTCTGAAAAGATGCAAGTAAGATAAATGACCTAATGCAGTGGAAAACACTGAACTGAAAGTCAAGGCATCTGCGCGGTATGCCTAGTTTTCCTGCAAACTTGTCCAGACCTCCCTAGACCCCAGGTTCTTCATCAGGGACAGGGAAAAGGAAGTAGCTAGACAACCTACGCATTCCTTGGAAATTCCCTGTCTCAGGGACCTGGCTCTAGGAACAGGAACAGAATTCGAATAGTTAGAAGATAATATAAATTATGGTACTAAGGGAATATGTGTAGTATATAAGATAGATTGGCAGTCGGGAGAAGTTGATCATGGAGGTGTTGGGAGAGGAGCATGTCAGAGCCATTACTTGACAGAAGTAAGAAATGGGTGTTTGAATAAGTAGCTAATTGATGAGACTAGACATAGAACAAAAGGCTTCAAAAGAATCGAGGAAAGTGACAAGAACGACAAGGTCTTCTTCCGCATCTGCCATCTCATTTGCTCTGTTACTTAATACTTGCGAGGGAAGGGGGATTTTGAACTTATCAGTGTGCCTGCCGTCTGAGTGAAAGAAAGCGGCTGTCTTTCACAAATGGGGTGCAGCCAACCAAGACCTTGGTCTTCAGTAAAAAGGACCCAGCATTTGATTCCTTCAGACTGAAAGGCACTACAATTGTAGCGTGTGCAAATCTGCATAGTAGTATGCAATACTATTCTTTTCCAAATGGACAGATTTCTTGGCCAAAGAAGTCCTTGTAAAACTAAATAACTACAGTCTACTACCTAGACAATAGAAAACTGACGTCTTAGTAATGATTCCACATGGTCTTAAACAAAGAGAATAGCCCGCTTTTGTTAGCTTTTTTTTTTTTAAGTTCAAAATTAAAACAGGATCTTTTCTTATTAAAGCCAAAGAATAAAAAAGAAGAACAAGATTTTCTACATCCAGGACTTCTCTGTCCTTTGGGCACAGGGAGTAAGGGAGCCCTGTGGCTTCACGAGCGTGCTTGCTCTGGCAAGTGCGCTGTCATTTCCCGTTTCCCTTTGCTGCAGAAGACCTGCTAGGAGTTGGGGCACTTTCATACCTTGCCACTTCTTACCGCTGTGTTTCTGCCAGAGGCTGTACTTGGAGTGGAGTCAGTCTGGCTGCAGGTGTGAAGGTGCTCGCTTCATTAAGTGCTGAAGACAGCTTTCTGCTGATCCTGTCTGGAAACAGACAGACTGTAGTGATCGTAAATTAGTTTCTGGGCATTGACTTAAGTCAAGTCCGAATTCCAAGGTGTTCTTGACACCCCTAGAACAGGCTTATTAGTTTAGAAGCTAGGCGCTACCTATTATTGTTACTAGGAAATTTTGGGGAGCCCAACCTGGAGTGTCACATGTTACTGGGCAAATTGGGGTTTCCTCTTGAGTTTTAGTCCCACTAATTAAAGAATTTAAGAAGAGACTCAGGCCCCTGTGCTCAGGAGACAAAACAGGCAGACCTCTTAGTTCTGGTCTTGCTAGAGTTGCTTAGTGAGACTCTGTCTTTAAAAAAAGACTCAGTAGGAAGCCCGAGGACAATGACAATTTAATTAGTCTTTAAAAGAAAACCCTTAGGGCTGGAAAGCTGTAAATCTTGGTAGCTGCTAGGTAGCAGGAAAAAAAAAAAGAAGAGAGAAAAATCATGCCTTTTGTAAACCACCACATGGAAGAAATCAGTGCTTAGGAGTCAGGGGTAGTAATAACTTCAGAGAAAAAGAGTGAGAAAGCCCAGAGTATCAGGAGAAGCATGTCTAGATTATGGCCAGCATCTGGGTGTATATGTGTATGTGTGTATACATATTCTCTCTCTCTTCTCTTCTCTTCTCTTCTCTTCTCTTCTCTTCTCTTCTCTTCTCTTCTCTTCTCTTCTCTTCTCTTCTCTCTCTCTCTCTCTCTCTCTCTCTCTCTCTCTCTCTCTCTGTGTGTGTGTGTGTGTGTGTGTGTGTGTGTGTGTGTGTATGTGTGTGTGTGTAGGGGGAGGGGAGGGGAGAAAAAGGAACAGTTATACTTATCTAAGTAATTCAGAAAAGCAAGCAGGCTTAACCCAGGGAAGGCTCCAGGAGCAACCATACCCAAGTGAGGTGGGAGGGTGGGATTTCTGGGATGGAAAGGAAAAGTACATCTTCTCATTGAGGGTGTGAATTGTTCCTCCCATTTGTTCAGCATGCCTAAGGTGGGCTCTAGGCCTTACTTTAATTACCTCTTTCATTTTAGTAGCTTGGACTGTTAAGTCTCCTGCCAGAGCCAGAACTTCTGGTTTCTTATCTCCACCAGATATCCCAACAGTCTCTGCTCTGAAGATGAAACCCTGACGTCATTTAGGAGATAGGCTGAAATTAAGGACTGGGTAGATCCAATATTTCCATCCTGAAAATCCAGAGCTCCAGTTCCAGAGCTGTCTGCCAGAAGCCCTTTAGAGTTGCGGAGTTCTGCTCACACCCCACAGGGAAGCAAGGACACTCACTAAGAGGAGATAAGAAAGCAGAGCTCCCTGCCAGCATCTGGGCATTCCTGGAACTGCTGCTCGAGGGTCCCTGCCCTAAGCTGCCCGTCAGGTTTCCACGTGCTCTTCTCTCCATTGCAGTCACATTGTTTAAACGTCCCAGGTACACGCAGCACAGATTCCTAGATCCCATTCCTTAAACCAGCATTGACTAAACTGTATGTGGCAAGCACATGGTTTTTCTCTTTAGTAATGGGAGGTAGGGAAATTGAAGCAAAGTCTACGCCCCCCCCCCCCCGCACCCAACTGAAAAAACAATCTTTGATTTGAAACTGTTCAGGTGCTGACAGGGTTCTTTTGTAACTGGCTTCGTGAAAACTTTACTAGTGTTGAGAGTGGGAAATATGTTCATACAAAATTCTTAGAAGTCTATTCTAAGGAAATAACCCAATACTGCCATCAAAAAATTGATATCTTGGGGATGATATAAGAAATCACTGCATTTGAAATTTATATAAGGGTTCTTTTAGAAAATCCTGCAAAAAGACTAGTGCTACCGAATATTCAGTGTACAAAGCCAGAATAATGGAAACACTGGCATAAGATAGTGTGCTCCTCGGAGAGACCAAGTCTGACTAAGTTTAATGGGTCGTAAGAGATGCCTTGGGAAAGTCCAGGTTAGCTGCCTGGTTAGGCTGAGCTGCTGCTAAACTCCTCTTTCCTGTTTCTCATTTTCTCTCATTGTCGACCTAGGGCAGCTGACCAAGTCCAGTGAGTCAGTTGGTACACAAATCCAGGCCCTTCGGCCACAGGGTAGAGCACACAGCAACAGTATCTAGGAGGAAGAGAGGGGTTCGAGGCATTTTCGCTATTTGCCATGTGTTTTCTCCCCTCAGTCCCCGTCACATGTCTCCGCCATTTCCCCAGAAACTCCTTATTCAGTAGCTCTGGATGCTATGTCATCGTCCGTCATCTGGGCTTCTCAGTCTCGTTAATAATAAGGCTCCAATGTATATATGAAAATGAATAAAATGATTTTTCTCTGGTTAATTAATTATTATGCTAACTCGTAGCCCGACCACAACACTAGAAGGGATGGGAGAAGGGGCCTTATTCCTTGCCCAACACAGACAGCTGAACAGACTGTCGCTGTTACAGACTACTGCCCTCTTCCTTAAATATCTGCAGTCCCAGCTTTCTGTGTGAAAGACTCATCTACCGACGGTGTCCTGGGAACTTGGTAGCATTCTTTGATTTCAGAATTTGTTTTTCCTCCATACTTTGCTGTGGGTCAAGTGCCACCTGCTGGCAGTCAACTGTTATGGCACTTCCCCCCCCCCCCCCCCTTTTTCTGAGTAGCCCTGGCTGTCCTGGAACTCATTCTGTAGACCAGGCAGACCTCGAAGTTGGAGATCCACCTGCCTCAACACCTCCCAAGTGCTGGGCTTAAAGGCACGCGCCGCCACTGCCCAGCTGCATATATTTTTGATTGATTGATTGATTGATTGATTGATTGCCTCAAGCTCTCTTTGTAGGCAAGAATGACCTTGAACTACTGATCCTCAGGCCTCTACCTCAAGTGCTGGTGTTACAGCAGGTCTGGTTTGTGCAGTACGGAGGGTTGAACCCAGGGGCTTCCTTCATGCTATGCAAGCACTCTACCTACTGAACTCTGAAAGTTTCCTTGCTGGGAACTGAAACCTAGCACCTCAAGCATGTCAGGCAAGTGCTCTGCCACCGAGATACATCCCTGACCTGCTATTTCATCTTTATATGTCTGAAGTCTGTATGTCCATTTAAGGTGCTCAGTCCTTGTCTAAACAGTTTAGTATTTTTATCTGTGCCTTTGATGATGTGCTTTACTTTGTTTTCAAAGAGGCATTTCTACTGGAATCTCTATACTAGTTAATAAATCTGTACTGATATTTCCCTCACCTAATGACCACTGTCAAAATTATAGTCTGTAAAGTATGCCTCCATACATTTTTTCAAAGGTCAATTTCAAAGGTCACTTGTTCTGTCCTCCTCGCAATCTAATGTGTACATAGTTTCTCCAGGATCTGGAGGACAGGGGAGCTTTAAGAACTTTGAGATTGTGTTCTGTCTTGAATAAAGCCTGAACAGGGTAGGAATGTATAGCTAAGAAGCAGTATGGAGATCACAGGTGGGAACCTAATGTTGCAAAGGGGTCTAAAGAGGTAGGTCTGCGGATAAAGAGCTTGCTGTGCAAGCATGAGAACCGGAGTTCTGATCCACAGATCTCAGTCAAAAGCTGGGCAATTATGGTGGCTTCCCAATAATCCCCACACTAAAGAGGCCGGCCAAGACACGGGACTGCATTCCCAGGGCAAGTTGGCTAGCTTAGACTAGCCAGAATCGATGAGCTCTGGGTTTAAGAAACCTTGCCTCAAAAAATGAAGATAGAGAGTGATCAAAGCAGTGCAGGATCCAGCTGTTTCCACTTTCACCTTGCGCTCATGAGCAACGCTTAATCATGTGTGGAAGAATGAAGGAATGTTAAGACCAAAAATTTACTTGTCCTTGACGCAGGACCGGAGTTTTTAATGGGGATCAATGTGTATTGATAAACATACTTATCTTGTTGGTGTGACACAAATGATTCTTTCCTTTTGTTTTTTGAGATGGAATCCCACTGCATAGCCAAAGCTGCCCTAAAACTTATGGTCCTCCTGCCTCAGCCTCCTGAGAGCCAAGATTAGAAATGAACATCACGATTGGAGCCATAATTTCTTGATCTACTCTGCATTGGAGGATGCATAGTAAGGATAGAAGGGCTGTTCATCGGATCACGCTGAGACAGCTCGTGGCACTTCCATGCTCATCTCCTGTCGTAAACTAAAATAGGTGGCAGTTGGACTGAAGAGTTAAATAGAAAAAAGCAAGTTACAAAACTATGATGATGAATATGAAGCTTCTAACAAGAACTAAGTTTTCTAAGTTTAGGAGGGTAACAGGAAATATTTTCAAGGGAAAAGATCAAAATGTTATAATTTAAAATTTTAAAAACCAATATAACAGAAATGTTTTTTAAGCCACAGTAAAAATGAAAGATAAAACACAAACGGACAAGGGCCATGTGGCCTAAAGATGGACAAAGTGCGAT